ATTTTCTTACGAAATGTCGACATTGATTTAGTTCAGAATCATTAGTTGCTTTTGCATTCTTGCTCAGTGACTCACCAACCAAGCTAGTATGAACATAGCTCCGGTTCTGACCAGTACCTGTTCAACGACATGGGAAATAAGCAAAATAGTTAAGCCAATTACTTGAATCAAAACCAAATTTACACCGCAATTAACAAAAAAACAACCTCCAGGCAGCACCAGACTAAAATCAACAAAATCCAGAAGAAGAAAGTTACAAAAACCTTGAAATTGATCTGCAGTCCTATCAGTTCCGACCCTCTTGAACACAATTTTGCCATTATCAACAGCGAAAACAGAGAAATTTTTAGACAATTTTCTCGCACAGTACTTGGCAACGGAAGTCGATGATGATCCAATTCTGTGGTGGGTTTTAGATGTTCCAACAATGGTAGTAGCCGCATGAAATGCTTTTGCTTCCCGAACGAGCAGCTTTCGGACCGAATGACCTCTACAGACCTTAAGCTTCAGATCAACCTGTTCACAATTGAAGTGCAGTCTCAGCCTCCAAACGAAACAATTAGAATAAGAAGATAGAGAGAATCGCAGTGTGAAATGGGAACCTGCTTCAAGTTGCAGAAACCTTCATAGGCAGAGAGCACAGAGTCGAATGTCTTCACGAGTGAGAGCAATGACGAAGTCCCATCTGCAACACAAACCCAATTCAACAAAAACCCAAAAACCCAAATTCAACAAAAACCCCAAAAACCCAAATCCAATCACGAAAGAAAATCAAAATCCACAGAGAGAATTAGAGCACAGACCAGAGGTAGCGAGAAGGTGGTCCTCAAGAACATGAATGGCAACGACATTGTCACCAGTCTCCGCCACTTTAACGAGTGCCCACGTCAGCAGTTCCTTGCTGTGTGAGTCTAACTTCACTCCCACCACCACCGTCTTCCCCCCACCACCACCGCCTGCACCGTCTGTTCCACTCAACAACTTCATCTCATCTGCCTCCGACGTCGATTGTGTCCCACTTGCCAGTTGTCAGACAAAAATCAGTTATATTCTTGAGATGCCGATGTGTAGGTAGGAAGATGATTCAAGTGAAAGAAACGAATCCAAAATCCAATGGAAATTCAGATGGAATTACGAACTGCCAATTGCGAATTGAGAAATCGAATCGTGGTCGGTTGTTGTTGAAGAATGGAGAATGGAGAATGGAGCATGGGTGGGGTCGGAGACAGGGTGGGAAATCTTATGCCCACGAGATGAGTGTCCGGCCATTTCGGTCTTGCAATTAATTAACCGCAAGAATTAAGGGAACATAATTTCTTTTTTCTTTTTTTATTTTCTCTTTTATCTTTTATCTTTTTCGGACAGAATTTCTCCTTCTTCCTTTCTTCTGAAAAAAAAAAGTAAAAAAATAAATTAAAATAGTATGAGTGCTGGAATCCCATCATAAAAAGGGAAATAAATAATCTCTACTAATTGAAAACTTTAATTAGTATTGTTTATATGTAGGAAAAAATTTTGGCCAAAGAATGTACAATGCTGCTCACAAGCTATTATCATGTGCGCACAAACCCATGTGCTATCTACAAACGAATCTCGTCTTCCAGAAGTTATTATCTTGGTCTTTCTTTAACATTTTATAGCTTATTTGGATGTGCTTTTAAAATGATTGAAAATATTTTTAATGAACATGTTTTTAGAATTAATTCTTAGTAAAAATATAAGTAAATATTGGAAAAGAACTTAAAGAGCACTTTAAATGCTTTTGGAATCCAAAAATATTTTCTCTAAAAGCATTTTTAGTCATTTTAAAAGCATGTCCAAACGAGCTATTCTTTTTGCGTTTAAAGCTTGATTGAAGTGCTTTTAAATAATTAATAGCGATTTTTGTGAAAATATTTTTTAATAAACATCTAAAATATATCATAGAAAAACACTTTAAGTAGTTTTTTCAAGAAGCACGTATCTGGTGCTACTTCCCAAAAAACACTTAAATAGTTTTGGAATCCAAAATCAATTTTACCATAAACACTTTCAGTCATTTTGAGTGCACTTCTAAACGAGCCATATATGTGTGTTGCTAACATCCATATTTACTCCAAATTAACAAGAGATATCTAATTTTACTTTTTGGTTTGAATTTCTACATTTGGTACCATATTTTATGTATTTGATACAATCTCCATCAGAATGATTAAATGGTGATTGTACTACATATATTTCACATAAATTATATCTCATCATTAGATGATAATTGTATTAAATACATATAAATATAAAAACACTATTACGTGCCATAATAATAAAACCAACAAAATAACTTTTAATTGATTGTGATCGTTTTAAGTTTGGGTCGAGCCAACCCATTGTGTATCTCTAAGGTAAAAAAGGATTATATATATATAAACTACATATTAATAGAACATTTATGTCAACCAAAATTTTATAAAATTATCATTATAACTCTCTAATTAAAAATGAACATAAATAAAACATGAGCAATAATGTAATTTCATACAACAAAAATTTTATTATTTTAAAGCATCGGTTATATGTGATTCTAACATACCTCTAATTAAAAAATAAAATATAAACCACTTTCCTTTCTCTCCCCACTCCCACGTCCTCTCACTTTTTTAAACTCTTATTTTATTTATAAAAAATATATATTCACACACTTTGGTGCGTAAATAATACCATGAATGATTTTTTTAGAGTAAAAATATCATTTTCGTTAAAAGTGAACAGTACCGTGAATGTTTTGTCATTTCATTAAAGTAGGTAAAAAATCGTGATTTTGTCAAGCACAGGATTTGAGTAATTTCCTACAATTATTCGGCCAACCATTTGGACCTGGATTGTCTGCCCTTCCCATCTCATACTTTTCTCATCCCCTCTTATTTCTATGGTCACGATTAAGCCACGTTAATATTTTATATTCCTATTATTTTTTATCTTATTATTTTTATAAAAAAATTAATATAAAATGTTGATATGATTTAACTGTGACCATAAAAATAAAAATAAATATAAAGGGGATGGAATGAGAGATGGCAGACAATCCAGGACTCAACCACTCACCATTCACAATACCAGGACAAAAGTGGCGTCAATCGTTGTGACAACAAGAATGGAGTCAATGGGACATTAAAGTTAAAACTATTCAAAGTACAAACAAAAACATAAATAAATAAACAAATAAAAAATCAAATGACGCCACAGATCACAAGGCAAGGAACAGGTTTTGATTTATTTAGGTTAAGCTGTGTCTGTGTGCAAACATGTGTAGTATTGGTGGCAGGACGTCTGGTTGTTTGGTAACGGAGACAAGTTAATTAATGCATACCATTAGATTCTCTTTTTAAATCGAGAGATTTTTCAATATGATCGGCATAAAAGATAGTATATTACGTGTTAAATTAGGTTTGTCTTTCCAATACCATGTGTTGTATGGTAACAGTACGTCTTCTCTTTTGACAACCTACGTTTGGAGGAATTTCAACGAATTTGACATGTTCATCTAATGCTGGTAACGTAATGAAACTGCGTGTACGAAATCCATCCCAAAAAGTTAGAGTGGTGATAAACCTATCCTATTGTCCTATCTTTTCACCCATATTTTAGTAAAAATGTTAATGGGATGTTTATCCTTTTATAAAAAAACTTTTAAATTCTTATTTATTTTATTATAATTAATGTTACTATAGATCAAAAAAAAAACAATAAAAAAAACCCCACTACCATTTCCCCTGTTCCCACCCCGTTTCTCACTCTCCCCACCACCATCTGTCCATCTCTCTCCCAAACTGGGAAAACTAAAAATCTCCCTCCTCATCAACCACCACCACTCCATAACCCAACCCCCACCCCACTGATGTCCACCTATGTTCCATCAAAATTGCATTTCAACCACTGACAAAGAGAGGGGATCTTCGTCCTCTCCCTCCCTCATGCTTCTCTCTCTTCCTCCCTTCCCGTTTCTCTCTCTACTTCCCTCCTGTTTTTCTCTGTTCCCAAAGGTACCGTTTGGTACGTGGGACGAGACGAAACGGAGTGGGACGGGGTGAGTTTTTGGTGAATTTTCGTTCCACCAACGATTCGTTCCACATCCGTGGAACATAAAATTTTAATCTCTGTCTCCTTCTTCTTCCTCCTTATTTCCATCCGATAGAATCTTTGCTCTTTCTCCGTTCCGTCTGCATACCAACCGATGCATACCAAACGATACCAAAGAAGATGCCACCAAGAAAGTGTCAAGTGTTTGGTTGTTGACGGGGGTGGGTGACGTTTTGAGGGGGTGGTGCGGCTGTGGTGACGACATTCTGATAAATTAAAATAAAATGAGTTTAGATATAAATTAGAAGATATTTTAGGAATAACAGGGGGGTGAAGAAATAACATTTCAATTTTTTAACTTTTTATAGTGGGTCAAATTATAAGGTGAGTAGGGAAATAAACAATGAGGTGGGTCTAGTAATACTCAAAAGCTATGAAACCAAAGTGAAATTCTAGCAGACTGCAAAGATGGATTAAAAATGTAGATTAACGGGTTCATAATATAAATTACTATGTACAAATTATCTCCGTAAAAAGTGAATAAAATTTTATTCATCAAACTGTATAAAAACAAATGATCGAAATTAGTAAAAATATGACGAACTGTTTATCTACTTTTGCAATTGATTAACTAAACGACCTTAGTTTTAATTGATTTTTTTTTTTACAAAAATGATCTTACAAAATGATTTATAATATGAACAATTTCGATCTTAGCACAAACATTCGTAAATTGAGCACAAAATATTTTGACGAGAAATTCCTTCACAATTTTGTGAGCTTTGTTCATTTTCACAAGCCACTTTCACATTCTTTACGAGTATGTGAGTTTTGTAGCAGTCATTTTAACTATTTTATTGGCACTAAAGTTTTATTTTATGGATAAGCGTATGTAATTGCAAGCCATTGTTGATTTGGGATGATTTAAATAATGGGCGTGACGGCAATGAAGATAATCTTTTGATTTTCATTAGAAAATTATCCTTTCAAATCAACATCACTGTAGAATACTAGGTACCTAACCTGATATATCTACGCTGAACAGTGACATCAATCTTTAAGCACAAAAGTAGTCACTAGAGATGTAATCTACGAGGTGGAGGTGCATCAGTTACCACGGTTCGGGCAAACATTTGCGAAGTGTGATGGATCTCCGCAAGCAAAACACCTTCTACCGGAGACGGGATCACCAGTCGCTGATACAAAACTCACCCCAGCAGCATCTCCTGCACCCCGGCCACCTCTACCGCTGCCACCATTCCGAGTGGGGTTAGATGCTGAGGCACTAACATTTGCACGCTGAAAACCTCTTCCTCCGTTATCATTGTTGAGGCTATCCTCCCATCTGCACAAGGAGAAAGAAGCGTAGACCGGGAATTAGATAAGGTAACAACATACATGCACGCGCATGTACAGACATGTATAAACACAAACACCCCCAGATGCGTGTATCTGTGCACGGTGTGTGTTGCAGTTACGATAAAATAAAGATTCGATAAAATTACTTAGCGCATAACAACCCAATTTGTTCAATTTAGATACAATCCAACGACTGAAGCATCAAATGCTTATATGAGAAAGACTGAAGAAAAAAAGGGCAAAAAACCTTTGCAGGAAATGAAAATAATAGATTCACAAGGTCCCCTTTGGCATCTTAAACAAAAAGCAATTAATTGAGAAAACCAACTTTTTATCTTTACATACACAAAAAAGTTGCACGCCTGCGATTGACAAGAGTAGAATTTTCTTCCTCTGTTAGCTGTTGTATTAGCTGTTCGTAAAGCACATGGTGCACCACACGTAGAACATGAGATTGATACTTGTCCTGCAAACACATCACAAAAACACATTAGTTCGACCAAATGGTGCACGAACATAAATGGTATATGAACAACCAAGGGGGATCAAAAGGTCAGAAACTGTTTGACAAGATAATCATCTGACAACATGCTTTACTAATTAAGTTCCAATAATCCAGAATATGAAATATTTTGTTGGAATGTTTACAACTCACAAATTTAAGAACAAATTTTTTAACTTCACATGTTATGCTCATATAGGTGATAAATCTACATTTTAGGGTATGGTCATAGTGCTTACTGTTTAGAATATATCAAATCCTGGAGGCTTAAGCCTTAAGCTTTTGGGATAATTCGTACTTATCACCACCATAACGATTATTGTAATACATGATCTACTTCCAAAGCACTGATAATAGCAGTATATTATTGTCTCCTCTCATCCTCATTGTACATGCATCGGGAATTAATCCATTCAATATTCTAATTAAAAATTAAACAAATGCAAACCAAAATTCAGCAGTCATACCACTTTGTACATTCATAGGTCGAGGCCTTGCACTTTGCGGACCTGAAGATTGGGAAGGGCAATCGCCTGAAGAATGACCCGTTTGATGACAGTATATGCAAGCACCCTGCCTAGTATTACTTCGTTGGACATTGTTGGACATTGCTGGTCCACCCCCTCTTGCTGAACGTCATAGGAAACTTAATGTCAAAAATTGATGTTCCACTGTTTGGCGTTGCATATAACGACATGAGTGAAATTCTAATACCATTAAATTAATAGTTCTTAAAAGTATCATGATTATATTTCTCTAAAACAGAACTATCCGAAATTCATCTCTCTAACCTTATGAAACTCTCATTTTGATAGCATACTCCATTTCCATACGACCAACAATACAATACCTCTAACATTATATCAGTCTGCTCTCATCCTAAATGATTGTGCATGCCTCGGCAATTAATCCAGGCAATAGCTTCTCATTAAGAAAATATACAAAAGTTTAGCAGTCATACCACTTTGAACATTCATAGATTGAGGCCTCACCCTTCGAGGACCTGAAGATTGGGAAGGGCAATCGCCTGAAGAATGCCCTGCTTGATGACAATATATGCAAGGACCCTGCCTGGTATTACTTCGTGGGACATTATTGTTGGATGTCGCTGGCCCACGCCCTCTTGCTGAAAAACATATGAAACATCAGCGTTTGACTGTTTGGTGTCGCATATAACCACAAGAATGTAAGTTACCTTTAGTTGGACTAAAAGTCAACACTGTACAATTAATCTTAAATTTTGTCTAGAAAAAGCTTGAATGGTCGATTTCCAGATTTATATGCTGTCCAATGATGAATATAGGACAAATATCAATTAGAAATATTACATGTTTTTTTTTTATTTATAAAAAACACAGCTTCTATTGTCTAGACATGCACCACTCTTATGGTTAAAATGTATTTTCCCATTCATGATTCTAAGAACTAATCTTGTTCATCTGACCCTATCTTACCATGGAATCCAAGCTAGCTACCATATGAATGAGCCAATTCTGTTTTGTTGGAATGTAATAAACAGCACTCAAAGCAAAATCATTTTCTAATAAGAATTCGAACTTCTGATTGTATTGGATAAAGTTTCTCATAAAAAGTGTAGTATTTTGAATCGTATGGGACGAATATATTTCACCAAGATTGTGTAATTCGCATACAAAATTAAATTAAAATACACCGAGCACTTTTTCTATAAAGTTGTTCCAATTTTTCATTTCTTATGTCATTTATCATCTTAGTTAACTTTTATGAAAGAAGTTTTTCCGAGATCCCTATCTACCAAAATTTTAACTTCTGGTAAAGAAAGGCGAATTATTAACGTAAACAAGCTTTATAGGATGTTTTACAATGACAGTACAATTTTCAAGAGCACTCAAAAGTTAATACTTTACAAGTAAAAAATAATTGAAACCTTCGGTGGACAACTTACAAGTATATTTTTAACCATATAAAAATACATAAAAAGAAATCCACTAATCCAAAGATCATAATGTATCCCACTTTTCAGGGTATGATAAATTGTTTGCATAATGATGCACAAACCTCAAATAGTAGATGGAGGTCACAGTGGTGGGTGAAAGAAAATATGAAACTATGAGACTAATATAATTCGTGAAGATAACTCAAATCTCAAATACTCAATAACAAAATTCATATAAAAATTGGTTCTATTTGAAAAGGTAAATTGGTTCGATTAATTTCAAACAATTACTCACAACACAAACCTGATAACCGAGAACCAGTTCCACAGATTTCCGTCAACTGTCTAAGAGTCTCATCACAGCCGCCAATGCAACCTGATGGCACATATGCATGAATTTTCATGTTAGACCAACTATGGAATCATAAACTTCCAGACACTAGAAGCCTAGAGAGGTTAAGTTTTAAATGAATATAGAACTGAGAAACAATTTAAGAATCATCATGTCCGATTACTCTACTCAGATAGACTCCAAGTCAGATTTGAGGCCCATCCTCTCAGTAAAGAAGCCTTTTTCAGCACCCCAATCCAACTTCATTCAATGAACAATACTAGACCAACAATGCATGGTGTAATGGCTTAATATTTAGTATGCAAACATACGCATGATGGAATTCTCTGAATCATTTGATGGATTAATGAAGACAAGGAGCAAAATGGAAAAGGAAATGACTTCCATTCAAAAGCTAGAGAACAATCTATTGAAGGCAATCTCAAGCACCCTGAAAAACTCAAAGCTAATCTTACTTTATGCTGCACTTACCCAAATGGTTGGCACTATAGTTTGGTGGTATTTCTAGCCGCCGAAATGTAAATTGAATCAAGTAAACAGGACCTGAAAAATAAATAAATATATTGAAAAAATTAGATCCAAAATAATTTGAGTAGTAACACACAGAATTAGTGGACAACCTGCACCATATAATGCTTTAAAGAAGGTGAATTACATGACCTCCACAATTTCAGTGACAAAAAATGGGAACAGTTTAGGAGTGGGTGCATGTGAGCACCACAACAACAACAACAACAAAGCCTTTTCCCACTAAGTGGGGTCGGCTATATGAATCCTAGAACGCCATTGCGCTCGGTTTTGTGTCATGTCCTCCGTTAGATCCAAGTACTCTAAGTCTTTTCTTAGAGTCTCTTCCAAAGTTTTCCTAGGTCTTCCTCTACCCCTTCGGCCCTGAACCTTTGTCCCGTAGTCACATCTTCGAACCGGAGCGTCAGTCGGCCTTCTTTGCACATGTTCAAAATCACCGGAGCCGATTTTCTCTCATCTTTCCTACAATTTCGGCTACTCCTACTTTACCTCGGATATCCTCATTCCCAATCTTATCCTTTCTCGTGTGCCCACACATCCCACGAAGCATCCTCATCTCCGCTACACCCATTTTGTGTACGTGTTGATGCTTCACCACCCAACATTCTGTGCCATACAACATCGCTAGCCTTATTGCCGTCCTATAAAATTTTCCCTTGAGCTTCAGTGGCCTACGACGGTCCACACAACACGCCGGATGCACTCTTTCCATCCAGCTCGTATTCTATGGTTGAGATCTCCATCTAATTCTCCGTTCTCTTGCAAGATAGATCCTAGGTAGCGAAAACGATCGCTTTTTGTGATCTTCGCTAGATTGCTCCGGTCATTAGTGTGGATAAGTATATAAATGGATAGAGATAGGAAAGCAAACACACAAGATGTACGTGGTTCACCCAGATTGGCTACGTCCACGGAATAGAAGAGTTCTCATTAATTGTGAAGGGTTTACACAAGTACATAGGTTCAAGCTCTCATTTAGTGAGTACAAGTGAATGATTTAGTACAAATGACATTAGGAAATATTGTGGGAGAATGATCTCGTAATCACGAAACTTCTAAGTATCGGAGTGTGGTGTCGTCTTGACTTGCCTTATCTGTCTCATAGGTAGATGTGGCATCTTTCTCTGGAAGTACTCTTCCTCCATCCAGGGGTGGTATCTTTAACTGGTGGAGATGCACAAGGTAATGTATCAATTTCACTTGAAGCTTACTTGTAGTTTCAGGCTTGGTCAAGCGCGATACAAACCATGTAGTAGGAGTCCCCCAAGTCGCCGAACTAGGGGGTCTGCTGAAAGAGGTGACAGACAAGGTAAGCAATCAGAGCTCCGACTGATTGTTCACCTTCTCCCCATCTTGCAGCAGCATGAAGGATAAAGAGAAGAAAAATGAGAAGAGATGATATGAGATACTTTTGCTTTTGAAGAAGTAACTTTCCACATGCTTATTCTTGAACTGAGCTGGAGGGTTTTCTGGTTTCCTCCAGAGTATAAGGCCGACTGAAGAATTTGAAGGTCAAAACAAGTCCATCAAATCTAGAGTATGTTCCACCCTGCTGATATGGGATACTTTTGCTTTTGACAGAGTAATGAATGTATCGGCACGTGTGCTGTTACGCTTGTCTCCACATGCTTCCTTGTATCCTTCGCGCTTGCCCTATCTGTTCCTCAAGCAGATGCGGAATCTTCCCTGGAAACATAAGATGTTGAAGATGAGTACTCGAGAGCAATGCCAAGTAAGTAATCAGGTAAGGGGTTCCAGGCAGTCAGTTCCTGGCTGGAAGCTTGATTCCAAGTGCTGACTGATTGCTCTCTTTCTCCTTGTCTTGCAGGTAAAAACAAGGCCAAAAGAAAAGACAGGGAAAAAGCATGATATGGGATACTCTTGCTTTTAACCCTGATGATATGAGATATTCTTGCTCTAGTATAGCTTGTTTGCAGAGGTATTATCGGGGGGAAAGAAAGCTGAATATTTCGAAAGGCTTTGTTGGGAGTGCCCTCTCAGATATGATGAAGGGTTGAGCATTTTTGCAGGTCTGCCTGTCCGTTGGGGATGGAGGTCGACATATATAGGAGTCTCCCTAACAACAAGTAGTAATGCTATTCCTTTACCCTGCTTGGTCATAGCACGGTAGTGGGAGCTGCCAGTTTCACATGTTTTAACTCTGTCAGAGCACTTTGAAAAAAAGTGGTCTGTGGTATCTGGCTCTCGAGATTCGGAGAACGATGCCTCTTCGATTTTTGAGAAAGCAATCATGCTGGGGGTATGACTCTCGAGATTCGGAGAGCAGTGTCTCTTCGATTTTTGAGGAAGTAATCATGTTGGGAGTCTGGCTCTCGAGATTCGGAGGGTGGTGCCTCTTCGATTTTGGAGCAAGCAATCTTGTTGGGAGTGTTGTCTCGAATGTGAGTAAAGGTTGGGCATGTTTGCTAGTCTACCTTGCCACGAAGCACAAAGGTTGACACACAAGGACTTTCCAATTATCCAGCAATGGTACTGTTCCTTTACCCTCTCTTCGATTTTGAGAAAGTAGTCATGTTGGGAGTCTGGCTCTCGAGATTCGGAGGACGGTGCCTCTTCGATTTTGGAGCAAGCAATCTTATTGGGAATGTTTCTCGAATGTGAGTAAAGGTTGGGCATGTTTGCTAGTCTACCTTGCCACGAAGCACAGAGGTTGACACACAGGGACTTTCTAATTATCCAGCAGTGGTACTGTTTCTTTACAGTTGTGGGTAATAATATGGTAGCTAGACCTTCAAAATTTATGTGTCTAAACTTTTGTTAGTGCTGTTTCTTTGCTATTCTTTTACCTTTCTTGGTCAGAGCGATGTAGTGGGAGCTGCAAGCTTCACGTGCTCAACTTTGGCAGAGAACTTTGGCAAAGTTATTTGTGGTACCCATGAGCTATTGTTGCGTGTGGGAAGTGGGTGATTGAACAGTAAGATTCATGTGCTTTCTACTTCACCAGAAGTCTTCGACAGAATGCCCATAATTTCTGCAAAGTTGAGTGTGCGTGTGACAGGTGTTGACAAGGCTAGAAAAGTAGGTGCCTCTTCGATTTCTGAGATCGGCCCTCGTGGTCTCTGAGCAGCCCAGCTTTTGAGAAAGCGAGCGCCTCTTCGATTGATTCGGAGAACGATGCCTCATCGATTTTTGAGAAAGCAATCATGCTGGGGGTCTGGCTCTCGAGATTCGGGGAGCAGTGTCTCTTCGATTTTTGAGAAAGTAATCATGTTGGGAGTCTGGCTCTCGAGATTCGGAGGGCGGTGCCTCTTCGATTTTGGAGCAAGCAATCTTGTTGGGAGTGTTTTCTCGAATGTGAGTAAAGGTTGGGCATGTTTGCTAGTCTACCTTGCCACGAAGCACAGAGGTTGACACACAGGGACTTTCCAATTATCCAGCAATGGTACTGTTCCTTTACCCTCTCTTCGATTTTTTAAGAAAGTAGTCATGTTGGGAGTCTGGCTCTCGAGATTCGGAGGACGGTGCCTCTTCGATTTTGGAGCAAGCAATCTTATTGGGAGTGTTTTCTCGAATGTGAGTAAAGGTTGGGCATGTTTTGCTAGTCTACCTTGCCACGAAGCACAGAGGTTGACACACAGGGACTTTCCAATTATCCAGCAGTGGTACTGTTCCTTTACCCTTGTGGGTAATAATATGGTAGCTAGACCTTCAAAATTTATGGGTCTAAACTTTGTTAGTGCTGTTTCTTTGCTATTCTTTTACCCTTCTTGGTCAGAGCGATGTAGTGGGGGCTGCAAGCTTCACGTGCTCAACTTTGGCAGAGAACTTTGGCAAAGTTATCTGTGGTACCCATGAGCTATTGTTGCGTGTGGGAAGTGGGTGATTGAACAGTAAGATTCATGTGTTTTCTACTTCCCCAGAAGTCTTTGACAGAATGCCCATAATTTCCGCAAAACTAAGTGTGCGTGTGACAGGTGCTGACAAGGCTGGAAAAGGCTGGAAAAGTAGATGCCTCTTCGATTTCTGATATCGGCCCTCGTGGTCTCTGGGGAGCCCAGCTTTTGAGAAAGCGAGCGCCTCTTCGATTTTTGAGATCGGCCTTCGTGGTCTTTGAGCAGCCCAACTTTTGAGAAAGCAAACGCCTCTTCGATTTCTGAGATCAACCATCGTGATCTCTAAGCAGCCCAGCTTTTGAGAAAGCAAACGCCTCTTCGATTTCTGAGCAGGCGCCTCTTCGATTTCTGAAGCTTCGTCGAGTGCAGATTTTTATAGGGGCTGGCATTAAGTTCCAAAGCACACTTGAATCTCCACCAGTAGAAGCTTCATTCTTGCACTTCTAAGATCCTGATTTGTCCGACCTCTTCTCTCTCTTCAACACCTTTGAAAATGTCTGGCCCCTCCGACCGTCGTTTTGACTTGAACCTTGTTGAAGAGGCAGCCCCGCCTTCTCCAGACAACATATGGCGCCCATCCTTCGTCTCCCCTACTGGTCCTCTACCGTTGGGGATTCCGTGATGAAGAATGATATGACCGCTGCGGTGGTGGCCAGGAACCTTCTCACTCCCAAAGATAACAGACTACTTTCCAAACGGTCTGATGAGTTAGCTGTTAAGGATTCGCTGGCTCTCAGTGTTCAGTGTGCAGGTTCTGTGTCTAATATGGCCCAACGCCTATTTGCTCGAACCCGCCAAGTTGAATCATTGGCGGCTGAAGTGATGAGTCTCAAACAGGAGATTAGAGGGCTCAAGCATGAGAATAAACAGTTGCACCGGCTCGCACATGACTATGCTACAAACATGAAGAGGAAGCTTGACCAGATGAAGGAAACTGATGGTCAGGTTTTACTTGATCATCAGAGATTTGTGGGTTTGTTCCAAAGGCATTTATTGCCTTCGTCTTCTGGGGCTGTACCGCGTAATGAAGCTCCAAATGATCAACCTCTGATGCCTCCTCCTTCTAGGGTTCTGTCCAGTACTGAGGCTCCAAATGATCCCCCTCCGGTGCCTTCTCTTTCTGGGGCTCTACCGACTGCTGAGACTTCTCCTAAGCAACCT